TAAAGGAGTTTTTTGTGTTACTAGTACAAAACAACCATGGTGGATGGAAGCCCCGTGTCCACGTCCAATGCCAGCCTGGGGATGGTAAATCTGTCTGTCCCTCATTTCCCTGAAGATCGTTTCTTTACATTTTCAGTGACAAGTGATAGCACACAAAGTTGCCGTCTTGTTTATCTCCTCATCTCACTGCAGAACGCCACTGAGCCGACCATTGCGGGTAGCTACGTGGCAGGACCCAACACACTCGGCCTGCTCGTCTGCTCCTTCGCAGCTGGCGTCTTCATCAAAAAACTGGGGGACGAGGGGGAGGGGAAGCTCCTCCTACGTGTGGCTGTCGCCATCAACAGCGTCATGAGGGAGGCGTTGACCTATATCCAATGGTAAAATGGAATGCGGTAACCTGAATATAAACGTGTAGAAGTCACATTTAATGTATAGTAAATGCACAGCAGCATCTTCTTCTCTCCTATTCTAAGTTGCTTGTGTCAGGGTTTCAGATAATTATCAGGTTTCAGGATGTGTTTGTTTTTCTGAGTGACACTGCTCTGTCTTTTGACTCGGTGTTTCCTTTTAGCTTCTTGCCAGTGGGGATCCTGTTCATGATCACAGGAAACCTCGTGGAGGTTTACGACTGGGAGACAGTCTCCAAACTGGGAGGCTTCATAGCTGTGGTCATCACTGGGTACGACCTTTCTCACCTGTTTAGCCCACTAAAAAACAGCCACTTGACAAATCCAGCATTTCTGCACCTCATAGCAACTAGTGATACGCTATAGTTGCTATGATAAAACAATAAAACCCAATGTAGCTCATAAATGAGACTAAAAATGACCAACTGGGCCATTAAGTTTCTTTGTCCTGTCAGCAACTCGGTCATTCATCAGTATTAGCTTGCATTGATATTCAGTGTATATTGTATTGTATGTTTTAGGCTCGCAATCCATGGAGGGATTGTTCTACCGGGCCTCTATTTCCTCATGACAAGACGAAGCCCCTGGCCCATCATTAAGGGGGCTTTTCCTGCGCTGCTGACTGCCCTGTGCATCTCATCAAGGTAAGATAACTTTTAAAGGCTCGGTCGTCCTTCGCCCGGTGTCAGCTCTGTGTATTTGTCACCAGATAAAACACCGCTGAGTGTAGCTTAACAAACCAACGCACAGCTACAGTCCTTCTGTCTCTCCGAGCGTTAGTTACGTGAGGGTTCGACAGAAGAAGCGGGAAGTGAATGCGTTCTATAAAGAATGCAAATGATTAATCAGCTGATTCTGATGAGATCAGGGGGGAATTTTCTCAGATTTGTCTGATTTTATATGAAATGACAGACAAGTGACTGCACACACAGACGACACTCGATGCTCCCCAACAAGTGACAGCATGTTAAATTCAACCTTTATCTTTTAAAGAGGATGTTACTTTTGTGGTTTCTTTT